GGGAAGCCCATAGATACCCCAGAGAGACAAAGGTTGCAAAACGTGTAGGAATCTCAACAGCTGAAAAAACTGAAAAATAAGTATACAACCCCATTGAAGAAGCGAATACATGCGGGGGAGGTCAGAGATCCGTGCATTGCCGAAAGCGAGCTCGCCACGAGCAATTCAAGGTAGCTTCGTCAACTTTTTTTTTAGCTTTTTCCCCCTCTTTCAAAGCTCCAGTCTATTTGTAGGAAGCAACATGTGCTGGGAACCGGGCCGAGTGTCCCTTATGAAAAACGTTTAAACCAGCAATTTATTTCCCAACCATTTTTTCAAAGTTGCGGATCGCATGCTGCCGGAACTTTCGACACTCGGTCGCATGAGCAAAAGGGCTGGCAGCGCCAGCCAAAAGGAGCCCAACGCCATTTTTTTTATTATATTTTTTTTGCACGCAGCTTGTTTCCAGCCCTGGAGAATAGTGCGTCGGAAGTAATGGTGGTTTAACGGTTTACGAGGTAAGATCTTTTCAATTTGGGCCTAGGCCAGTAGTGAACGCAGCAGGGCACGTTCAAAAGGTGCAATCTCAGGATGGTGAGCCTTGGAAAGTAGCTTCATCATCTTAGACTCGTGTGAGTTTGTGGTTTAAACCACCAACGGATTTTTGTTGCCGGCCTCCTAGCCTCTTGGACCGGTACCCTGAACCAAACCGCTGTCGGGTGAAGGGGCCCAACACGTCACACCCGCACTAGGCCCTAGTGGCCTTCAACTGCGCACCAAGCTTTTCCCGAACCACCAGCGTCACACTCCTTTTCTTTTTTGGCCCAAGTTTGGGCCTAGAACAGTAGTGAATGCGGCAGGCCACAGTGACAAGGCACAATCTCAGGATGGTGAGCCTTGGAAGGTAGCTTCGTCATCTTAGGCTCGTATGAACTGGTGGTACACCAGTACACCCGGTCCTGGTGTTTTTTTTTTGTTTTTTTTTTTATTAAACACCCCCTACAGTGTTAGTGGTGTTGGTAAGAGCAGACACCGATACCACCTGGGGAGCGGCTCCATCTATTGGTGGAGAGCAACACCTGTTGAAAAGTGGGTCCAGCGTCCCATAAGCATATCAAAACAGGGAATGTGGGGGTTCCTGCCAGCATTGATTACCTTGGAGTCCAGGGGATTGACTGAGCAGGATAATGGAGGGAGGGGGGATCCTTTTCACCATGAAGCCGACGCCTGATACTTGCTGTTGCATACTAGTTCCTCCCTCCCTCCGCTAGTGATTACTATGAATTCCACAGTATGGCGAAGTAGGACACCTCGTTCCCCTTTTTGTAAGGTGTAAGTTAATGAGATAGCGCTTGCTGGGCGCCGGGCCCGGTGGTTGGGTGCGGTAGGTAGGTGATGTAGATGATGGTGATGCTGCTGGCGATGCCAAAGCTGATGATGACCGCTGATCTCTGAGCTCCTTACTCCCGCCCGAACCATCTCATATCTACAATTGTTGTGGCTGCAGGGGGAAACATATCAAAAAAGTCCTCTGGACTCCTCATTGGGATCTCCGGGTTGACTTGCAGTCATTCGTGAAACTGAAGTTTGTTGTTTTTGGTGAATTCGTTGCTTTCCTTTTCATCCCCTCTTTCCCTGTGGCAACAGATGTGTGCTAACCTACCTCCCTTTTCCCCTCCACACCCTATTTGTAGGGGTGAGTCCTCCAACTTGGCTGCCACCCAGTCTTGTTCCCGCAGTCTTGGTCCTTTCCTCATAATTGTCACCCAAGTCAAGGGAATGAAGCATATCAATTGTTCCAGTCTGTTTGCTAAATTGCAGGCGTGCCGCAGATAGGGTCTCAATTGTTGAGCGGATTTCCAATCCTTGGCTGCCTTGTCCTATATATCCCCTACACGGAGGACCCCATTCCTAACCCACATGGTCCATTGGGGGTCCAAGCTGCTAAATACCCGGCCTAGACGGTCGGTAATGACTCTGTTGCCAAATAAGGGTTGTCGTAGAACTTTTTCCATCCGTTATGGGAAGGGCCGGTTTGGGAGTGGTAACCTTCTCTAATCCTTGATTAAGTTGACCCATAATTTATCCTTTGTTAGGTCTTGTCTAACTGCTCCTCTAGCTCCTTTCTCTCGCGAGTGTGAATTTGCCCAGGGGATTGACCAGTAACGATCCTCAATCCAGGTCAGCGAGTCTATCCCCGAGGTTGTTCTAGGGGTCAGCCTACAGATCTGTTCCTTGGCCAAGTTCTTCTAAGGGGGGCTTTACCCTGGAGTAGTTTCTTGAACCATTGGATTGCCAAAACTGTCGCTTGCAGAGAAGGATCCAACAGTCTCATCATGCCCCTCGTTTTAGGCTAGATCGGCGTATCCCATGCCACCTGGCTTATCACGTGTTGTAGGTCTGAGTCCCCCCTACAGAGGAAAGTTGCTAGTTGTTTCTTAAGGACTTTAGTTCCTTTCTTGCTCAGGTGCCAAATGACTGACTTCTACCAGATTGCCGCCAATATTCCATTATTAATGATCTGCGCCCTCCCAAAAATGGATGTGTTTTTATTTTTCCATTTTTGCATTTTTTATAGTAGTTATCCATTCATCATTCTTTTTTGGTGGTCCCTGCATTGAGAGCGCCACACCCAATACGCGAATCTGTTCCTCGAGGGGTCTCCGGTCTACCTTGGGCTGTTCCAGGGGGCGGACCCCATGGTGATGAATCCACCAGCCCTGCGTCTTGCTTCCCCAATTGACGGTCATGTCCGATACTTGGATGAAGCGCGTCATCAGGGTCAGGATTTCTGCCATATTGTTCTGGGTGACCTCTGTTACTATTGTCAGATCATCAACAAACATCGAATAAATAGGTAAGTCTTCCTCCGGGATACCTGTCAGATGAAGGCGAGATATTTTTTTGTTTGTTCTCAGGTTTGCCCCCTGAGCCACCATTATGATGATAAAGAGAAAGGGGGCTATAGGATCTCATTGTCTCATTAAGCGTTGCAACCTGAATTCTGGTGCTATCAAGCCATTCACCTGCACTCGTGTTGTCGCACTGTGGTGGAGAATCCTTATCCAGTCCCGGAATTCCGATTCAAAGTTCATTTTCTGAAGGCATTTGTCTAAGAATCTCCAGTCCACATGGTCGTAAGCTTTCTCAAAATCAATAAACATGATTGCAACGTTTTGTTTTGTTTGTCTTGCAAGTTTTATTAGTTCATTGACTAATAGCACATTATCCTGGATGCTCCTGTTGCGCATGAATCCAGTCTGCATTGGGTGGATTATCTCCTCCAAGATGGGGATCATTATGTTGCCTAGCGCTTTGGCCACCAATTTGTATACCACCGTGAGGAGGGTGATTGGTCGGTGATTCCTGATATTTGTTTTATCACCTTTTTTGTACAACAGGGTGAGGATTCCTTGACCCGCAAATTCGCCCATTTCTCCTGATGCCTTCACCTGCCTGTAGTATTCCATCAGGTCCTCCGACATGGGGGACCAGATTTCCTCCCATAATTCTTTAGGAAGTCCGTCTATCCCCAGGGTTTTATCTTCTTCCATCTGTAGGAGGGCTTCCTCTTTCCGTAGTGGTTTCTCCAGAGCCTCGCGTTGTTCGTGTGATATCCTTTTCGTAAGGGGGTCTAAAATTTCCTCCATCTCACCTTCCTTTGCTGGTCCTCGTTCCTTCGTCATGTTGGAGGTGAAGAGGTCTTTGTAAAAATCCCTGACCACTTTTAGACTGTGGGCTGATGAGAAAGAGAGGACCTCTCGTGTTTTAACAGGGTCGTATAGACCTTCTATGGCTGATCTTCTGACACTTGTCTAGGCCAGGGCAAAGAATCTTGCGTCCATTTGTCCTTCGACTGAGTGCTTCAATATTTCCCCCCTGATTATAGATCCCTGCCACCTTTCTTGTGCAAATTCCAGTAGTTGTTCTTTGAGTTTTTGTATTTCAGCAGACTCTGTTTGAGAGTTTGGGTGCCATGGTTGTTCCAGTTCATAGTTCTGAAATTTCTGTTGTATTTCTATTTCTTTAGCATATTTCTCTTTAGCACGTATTTTGATGGTCTTCTACTGCACGCCAAGCTTTACCAAATCGCCAGCGGCACACTCCTTTTCCTTTTTGGCTGGTGCTGCAAGCCATTGCAGTTCGGTAGCCCTGAGCCCCCACAATTTTCATAGGCCATCAAAGATTTCTCCAGCAGGCTGGGGCCGCGCACTGGCCCCCCCTGAAAAAAAAAACCACCATGGCGCCAGACAGATACATTCCTGTTGGTTCGTTTTTTCTTTGGCGCGCAGGGCAAATTCAGGCCCGTGGCTGCCACCAGTACGTTTCCCAGCAATTTTTCTCCGACGTGGCGGTACGCACACCGCAGCTTTCGCCGGGGGGTGCACCCTTGCCTTTGTCTTTGGGTGCACAGGGCGTTTGGACCCTCAAGAAACCGAGACTCAGAATATACCCATCCATCCCAGTGCCCACCTTGCCCTTTTACCCAGACCCTGTCCAACTGAGCATGGTGCCCTTTTTTCCCTATACATAAAGAAATAACTACGGTGCAGTCACGGTTTCAAGTTTCAAATGCAGTCAAGGGAAAAGGCCCGAAAATGTTTAATGTATACAAGCGTCCGGGGGGTGTGTTATGTTCGGGGGAATGACTGAACTGCACCCCCAGTGCACTGCCCCACCCTTTGCAGAAAGTTTTTGTCGCCGCAAGCAAAACTCGGAGGGGCCGCTCGGTGTGGGGCGCCGTTGGAAAATAAATAAATAAATCGGCGGCCTCCAAAGTGGTGCGGGTTCCACGCACGGGCCTATGTATGGTGTACTGGTGGTATTGGGGGTGGTAAGAGCAAAGAGCATCCTCCACTAACCCCCCATCATTGTCTCCAGTCCATTGGTGGGGACCACCACCTGCTGGAAACTGGGCCCAGCCTCCCATAGTACGTAGTACATAGTACATAGTACATAGTACATCATCCGTCTTTGAAATGTTCCCTATTGAGAACGCTGATTGAGAAGCGATACTGCATGGTACCCGACTCTTCCAGTGGCCCAAATTATACTTGTACTCGGTCCTTCTGGTGCTCGGGCTGGGACCACGAAATTATGCTCATGCCCAGAAGCTGGTCTGGCTAAATTGGGGTGGGGCTGTACCCTCACCGACTGGTGGGGTCTTGGATGCCATTTCCAATCCGAATTCGAATTCGGGATTCACGCAGCCCCACGGGCCCCTCCAAATCTGCACTCCATCTCCACAAGCAAGGAGGTAAACTCMCCCCCCCCCCCATATTCCCCATGATTTCCCATGATTCTCCTTCTCGCCGTAACTTGCCCCTTTTTCTCTCCTGACCCTCCTTTCCTCCCTCCCGCCCGCCCTCCCAATACAGAAAATTCACTGCCATTTCATATCATGGTATCATCTATGAATCATTTTTTTTGTTCCAATCATCTATTCGCTCGTTCGTCGTCGTAATAAGCGGCAGACAGGAAAACAGTCGTTCCGGCGTGATGGTTTTTCATGCTGAAATGCAAAGATAGCCTTGTCAAAAAAAAAAAAAAAAAAAAAAAAAAAAGGGCCCTCATGCAATCCTCGCACGGAATCCATGCACAATCTGGCCAAGAGTCTAACATGATGCACGCAATTTTTTTTATTTTTTTATTTTTAAATCACGCTTGCGACTGACACGTGTCAATCAATCACGATTCTCCACCTGCTCTCACACTCACACGAAGGCCCTCGCCACAGGGCACACGAGACGAAAAAAATAAACGAGTGCATCTGCCCACAGGAGGTGGCAAATTACATTCGTTATTCTCTCTAATAAAAAACAGATGTATAATTCCATCTTCTGCCGGAAGATGCACTCATTTCTTTTTTCGTTTCGTGTGCTGTGCGGCGAGGCCCGATGGCAGACCAATCGGCGGCACGAAGGCGGGCCAATCAAATAGAAAAATAAAAAAGTCAAAAAAGATTGCCCAATCGTCGACGGCAATCAACATCCATAATCATTGGATTAGATGGAAGAAGAAGAAGAAGAAGAAGAAGAAGAAGAAGAAGAAGAACGAAGACGATGAAGAAGAAGAAGAAGAAGAAGAAGAAGAAGAAGAACGAAGACGATGAAGAAGAAGAAGAAGAAGAAGAACGAAGAAGAAGAAGGAGAACGAAGACGATGAAAATGTCTTAATAGACCAACTGGCCTACCTTCTTCCCCCGAGTATAACGTACGGTCATTATAGCTGTATTTAGACTGAAAGATGACCCAAATACAGCTATCATGACCATACAAAACCTTGTATTTGGGGGAAGAAGGTAGCCCTTAATTGCTGAAACACAGACCCGAGTTCGAACTCCACTAGAAGCGTATGAGTGATTTTTTTCTACAATTCTGAATTACCTACCGTCTTCACCCGAATAGAACGCCCCCGGTCATTATAGCTGTAATTGGCACAACTTTCGGTCCAGATGCAGCGATAATGACCGGGCGTTCTATTCAGGTGAAGACGGTAGGACCGGTCAGTTCGATGATGATATTATGTCATGGCTGTCGCCTTTTCTACAAAAAAGGAAAGGAAGAAAAAGGAAAAAAAAGGAAGAAGAATCCAAAGAAAAAAAGAACAAAGCGTGTCTCGATAGCGCCGCCAGAAGTCCTAATGCGGTAGTTTGCAACCACTCTCATCATGCCACGTCAGCAGTAAGACGCGTCAGCAATATGTAATCAGTTGAGTGCTCAGCGAAACTTCATCGTGCAACTTTGGGATTAGAACTCACGTCGTCGATACACATTGTCATCGATGGCTACCTAAAAAGGAGAGAGAGTCGTCAAAGGCCTGGCTGAAAGCGTCCAAATGCATGTAGAGTGGTGTGTAGTGAAAATGCATGTACCTAAAAATGTAGACAATACTCTACATGCATTTGGATGCTTTGGGGGGGGGCAGGACATTCAGAATGTTGGACTCGCCCGAATGCACCTGGTCCTGAAAGCGTCCAAATGCATGTAGAGTGGTGTGTAGTGGAGCCAGGCCCGAAGTCACACATCACAAGTGTCATCGATGGCCAGCCACCTAAAAAAGCAAGAAAGTCGTGAAAATTTCACATCTTCAATTGACATCTTCGCGCTGAACAAACCGGGAAAAAAAGAAGAAAAAGGCAAAAGAACACACGGATCACGCTTATTCAATGTTGTGGCGCCCATCAAAGAGACAAACGAGAACGGGGAGATACAACGGGAGGAAGAGAGGAAAGAGGAAAGAGGAAAGAGGAAAGAGGGAGAGATGGCGAGGAGGTGGAGAGGAAGGAGGAGGGTTGGGATTGCTATGGCTGACAGAAGATCGTCCGGCATACTAATCACGACCCTTCCCTTCTTTGGTACAACTGTGATCTGTTTCTCTGTGTGTGTGTGTGTGTGTGTGTGTGTGTGTGTGTGTGTGTGAGAGAGAGAGAGAGAGAGAGAGAGAGAGAGAGAGAGAGAGAGAGAGATTGCAGAGCAATTTGGCAGTGCCAACCTTGGGCCACCTCAGCTCGGGGCATGCAAGTAATTTGGATAGGCCATTTCTTGGGTATAAGAGCAAGTTGGGCACTTGGACTGGGTATAGCGGGAATTCCCATCTTTCAATGGGGTACAGTTGTAATTTTCCCCAAAATTTAAATCACCAGTCCATCTGACCCTAAATTGACTGACATGATTTTTTTTTTTTGGGAACATGCTCCAATCATTCGTGGGGAGCAGCACGTGCTGGGAACCGGGCCCAGCATCCCATTCAAGATCATATTGAGAAATTGAGAAATTTTTATGGAGAAATCCTTGAGATACTGGGGCCATTACCCGGCTTCGGCTAAGAAAGACAACTGTGTAATCTACACAAGAACACTAAAATTCTCTATCCCCCAAAGCTCGGATCAAAGGAGCATTCAGAATGAAAAAACCACCTGCCTTAGGGACTTTCAGCAGCCCAACCCTACCTGCCTCACCCCTATATCCCGATGCCCAATCTCTACCAGGCCCCATGCCCCCAACTGCTAAGTTACAGAGTGGCACGACCCACTCCAGAACCCCCCCACCTGCTAGGCCACAGGGCAAAGCGACCCGCCCCGGCTCCGGCCAGCATCGACTAGGCACCAGCTCACCAAAAGACACTAGAGTGCCTTCCACCCTCGACAACTCCCCAGATCTCTCTACCAGGTCTCATGAAGCTTCATTCTCCTCATCGGGGGACAACCATATATTTTTCTCTCACCTCACATATCTTTTTTAACTGGCGTTCTGCCATGTCATGGAACATATCTTTCTTTTTCAGAACCTACCACTACTCCAAAGGCTATACAGGGGACCCCTGCAAGCGTAGCTTTCTACCTCTCTTCGGTGAAGGGAGGTTACCTCTCTCGCTGGAGAGGGGTAATGGCATGTTTGCCCCTTTTCCCTAGCGTTTAGGGTGCAGGGTTGGGGCCGCCGGTGGGGGCCCGGCTAACACAAGGACCGAGCATTTGCCAGAAACTGTGCCTCCCTTTTCATCTTCCCCCACGGTGACCCCCATAGAGTAATAGTAGTGTCTAAAGCCAACACGCTCCCACACACCACACGTAACCCACTCACACACACACTCACACCCGTGTTGGCTGAGGACATTGCTAATACCGACTGGGAGGATCTGCTGACTATCTCAGTCGGTTGGCACCAAGAGTGAGCTTTTTCCCGAGACTGCCTGCTACCGTAACCGGCAGAAAATCTGGCGGCTGAGATTGGGTTGGGTCCCAGCCGCTCGGCCTCTCCCTACTGGACTAAGCTGGTGCTGTACTTGCACCAGATTCATTTTCCAGCTGAGATTGGGTCCCAGCTACCGAATTAACCTGGCACTGTACTTGCACCAGATTCATTTTCCAGTAGGCCTTTCTTGCCAAACGGGGAAAGTTTGGGCGTGAAAAACCAGAAAGGTTTTCACACAGGCCTACTCGAAAAAAGAACGGCGCTGTATTTGCACCAGATTCATTTTCCAGTATGTCTTTCTTGCCAAATGGAGAAAGTTCGGGAGTGAAAAACCAGAAAGGTTTTCACGTAGGCCTACTGGAAAATGAATCCGGTGCTAATACAGCGGGGGTTGGTAGACGGCCCACGCGAAACCTTTTTGGGCCCATGCAAAAACCTTTTTGGCTTAGGGAAAATTGCATATGTACCCCACTTAAAGATGGGAATACCCACCATACCCAGTCCCAGTGCCAACTTGCACCTATACCCGGAAAACTGCCAGTGGAAATGATTTGCATGCGCAGGACTGAGGCGACTCAGGTTGGTACCGCAAAATTGCGGTTATAACCAACTGCCAGAATGCACAAATTATGGACATACCCAGGCAGAATTATGGGCATGCCCGGGACTGAGGTGGATCGGCCAAATTATTCATATACCCTACTACCGGATGCCTGAAATTATGCTCATACCCAGCAGCCGCTGGGCCACAAGGGTCCATGTGGTGGGTGTGGTTGCCATCCAAGGCCCGCCCCTGGCTGTGGGTACACCCCCAATTTTGCCAGCCGGTTTCTGGGCATGGGCATAATTTCATTGCCTGGAACTCAGGGCCTGCAGGACTGGGTATGCCTACAATTTCGCACAGGGGAAAAGTCGGGTACTATGCAAAGTTGAATGGGGTCCGGGTATAGATGGAAGTTGGGCACTGGGACTGGGTATAGCAGGTATTCCCGTCTCTAAGTGGGGTACAGATGCAATTTTCCCTTTGGTTTATAGTGCCCTATCTTTTCCCATTTGGCAAGAAGGGCCCACCAGCATTGCAGGCCGTGGGATGTAAAAATTTGGCGGCCGAGATTGGGTCCCAGTGTGGTTGGCCTCTTCCTACTGGATTATAAACTTGGTGCAGTATTTGTACCAGATTCATTTTCCAGTAGGCATTTCTCACCAACCCCCAATCTTTTCCCGTTTGGCAAAAAGGGGCCACTGGCATTGCAGGCCGTCAGATGTAAAACTCTGACGACCGAGATTGGATCCCAACCGCCCTACCAGATTATGAACTTGGTGCTGTAAATACGATTGTTTGTTAACATTTCTTCTACTTCGTCTATACGAGAAGCAAATTGCTGTGAAAATAGAAAAAGATCTTCGCTTAAACCCAAGGGTAAATCTTGTGCAACTCCACCTGGTCGTATATAACTAGCATGCAGATTCATTTTCCAGTAGGCATTTCTTGCCGAATAGGAAATTTTGGGCATGAAAAACTTGAACAGTTTTCATGTGGGTGGTGTCCACCAATTATGCCAAA